TTGCTGGTCCTTCCCTTTGCTTCCAGCTTCTTTTAGGATTGTTGTTTGTTCTTTAAAAGTTCCAAGAGGAGGGGAGAGCTGAGGGTCAGTTGCTGCCTTGCGGAGCCTCCCTGGGGAAGGGCAGAGCGGGCAGTGCAAATTTGGATCAGAAATAGCTCTGGAATGGGAGGGGGGTAAAGCATAAATGCAAGCTGAAGGAGATGGTCTGGACAAGAACCAGCCTTGGTGCCAAGCCAGATGGGACACTGCTGGGGCAGTGATGCTTTAGCTGGAAGCCTTATTTGAGGCTCATGAAGGATTCCTGGGCCTCAAGAGCTCTAGTTTTGTTTAGAAATTGGTCATTCCCCAAACACCAAAAATAATCCTGGCCTGACTTAGCCAGCAGCCTGTGTTGCAACTATACCAGACTCTGTATGAGTCAGGAAGAAAAGTGTAGGAGAGGAAGAGAAAGGACGGCACTGTGTGGGCTGCCGCAGGGTCTGGTGAAGAAAGCACAGTCTGCTACCACCTCCCAAGGTAGCATCGTTCTCATTTAAATGGGTTTTTCTGGATGAGTTCAGGATTCACTTCCCCTCTGAAAAGTAGGTGGGACTGTGGGGGAGGCACTTACAAGAAAAGTATTGACTGGCATCCAGGTGGCACAGATCTCAGGGGGGTTTTGCATTTTAAGGCTAGAGGTCTTAACATCTTTCCTTCAGTGGAAGAGCGAGGTGACAAGGTGCAATGTGGGTTTGCTCTTACCTTGATGGGAGTGGCGACTTCTGGGCTGGCTACCACTAAAGGAGAGATTAACAGCATGCCCGAAAACTCGCTGGGTCTCTCACTAGCTGTCAGGATGGAGATGGCTCCCCCCTGCAATGCAAAATAACAGCCCACAGCTTAATACAGGTATCAACATCTCATTTATATAGCAATCCTGTTACTGGAAGGGTTTTAGTCCAAATAAGCAAATTATTGCTGCCCCAGCTGAGAGTGCAGTGTGGTCAGCGAGGAAGGCTGGAGGAGCAGGGTCACTAGAAGTGGCTGGGATTTTTTGGGGGAGAAGAGATCTGGTTTCTGCTCTCATTCAGTAAACCCTCACATTCCACTGAACTCAACTCCCTGAGCAACGTCTGTCAGCTCCCTAGGATGCCTTGTGTCCTCCTCAGTTAAAATGTCTGAAGCGGTAGTTGGGTGGCACTTGAAAAATAAGTTGAAGCTCTGTCAATGTGACAGACTGGTGCTGCATCAGGGAAATGCCGTGAAGCCAGGCTGGGTCTGTGCTTGTGGCACTGGTAACCTGGGCAACAGCAACGCTGCCATCCGGCATGCAAAAATCTTCACTAATTACTGGAAAGTTAAATATTCTCCTCCTCAGTGTCCCCAGCCCCTCCAGCCTCACAGCGCTGTGCCCGAGGTCTGACAGCGAACACCCAGCCCACGGTTTTGAGCTGAGCGCCAGCCAGGCTGAGCCCTCCTGCATGGGGACAGTGGCTGATGGCGTGAGGGGTGGGGGACGGAAGGGACCTGGCTGGCTTGCTCGGGAAAGTTTGCAGAGGATTAGTTGCCAAGGGAAATATTTGGTGAACTTCCATGCTGCCGGAGAACCAGGGGCTTGTTAGGAGCAGCAGCGAGGAGCATCTCAAAGACCTCACTGGGAAATTAGCTCCTTGTTACAGCGGCTTTGGAGCGTAGTGAGCACTTCAGAGCATGCCATGCCTTCTTATGCAAGAACACTTGTTTATCTGAGCATGGCCTGAATCCCAAAGTACTTATTCATTTTCGTCTCCTCCAGGAAGGCAGGGAGAGCAGATCAATGACATCAGTGGGAATATTGCTAGCTTGAATAAAGGGATTTGGCCCGTGCTGTCAGAATCAGACTTCAGATCTGTTCACCAAATCGGTGCCTTTGTTTTTGCAGCCCTAATCCCCAGTACATTTTCCTGTTAGGTTGTTTAACAGAATGAGGCTACAGGGTGTTTTTGTGCTTCATCCCCTAGCCGCTCACAAAGCTTTGGAGGGCTTAACCTCCTGGTTGAAATGAAAGGAGAAGCCCAATGCTGCAGGGAGGTGGTGGGACTTATCATGTACCCAGTGTGAATGAACGATCCTATTGACAAATAGGCCCATTGTTGCAAGTGGCACTAATTAGGGCCATGATCCGGGTAGAAAAGTTAAGGACTATACTGTACTCAAGATGGATCTTCTGGGGAAAGGCATGCTGGCAACTCAGTCAGTGAATGAAGTGGAAGGGAGGGTTGCTTGTAGTTTTGTTTTTCCTGCTGTGGGCTGAGTTATTTTCTGCCATCCACAAGAGTACCACCGTGCTGCGGCACGTGTCCTGGGTGCTGCCGGGAGAGGTAGGAGATGGTGCTTACCATGGAGTGCCCCAGAATGAGAATGGGCAGCTCAGGGTGCTCTTTCTTCATGAGATCAATATGCTGCAAGCTGTCCCTGATGAAGACGTGGAAATCTGAGACAACCATACGATCACCCTCGCTCTGCCCATGACCAACTGTAGGGGAAAAGGAGAGCATGCATCTAAGTCATTCGAAACAGTGGTTGCAATCGAGAAAGGCTTCAGCAGAAACATGCCTGTTAGACTGTTACTGTCCTAACTTGACCTTCTCCCGCAGTGATCTCTCAACAGAAGGGAGTGCTGCAGAAATACAAAGGACACTGCACAGAATAATTTTAAAAGTGCCATACAGTCCATGATCTGGTTAAAAAAAATATATATATTCCCCTGTGTTTCTACCTGCTCTTTAAAACTGAGAGTACCGATCTAACCTCTTGTAGCCTTCAACATCAGGGTGAGGAGGGCAGAATGGCTGTCTTGCCTTGCTGTGGGGATGGGAGGTCACTGCATCCTGGGAAACCAGCTTTTGCCCCAGGGATCATAGCTGCTGGGGTCTGATGGCTCACTGTACTGAGCCAACTGCTGTGTAGAGTCTTGGCGAGAAACAGAAAAATTCTAAGACTAGATATGGTTGCTATAAACTTAATGGGTCACAGACACAGCCTTTTCCAGTGCCTGGGTGCACGTGAGCTTTGCAGAGTCCTGCCTTTCCTCACTGCTACCCTGGAGCACTGGGTGGGCTGGGAACCTTCCCTGCTGTGGGGTGAAGCGCTCAGCAGAGCAGCCGAGTCACAGTGGTTGCAACAGCCTGCTCTGGGGAAGTACAAGTGGCACGCTGCCCTTAAACCAGTGTTAATGCAAACTCTGCTGCACCTGGACGCCGTTAGCTCATTCTGTATCTGGGAATTATCTTGTCTGATCAAAAGGAAGGGAAAGACTAAAACGAGAGATGGTGAGTTGCTATGGGAACAGCGGCATCCCTGGCAGAGGTGGAGCCAGCATCACCACAAACACAGTCCCAGGGAATTTTGAGCTTGCAAAGGCTTGAAATTAATACCACCTTGGGGAAGCAGTTTGCATGTTTACTTGACCACACAAAAATGTTATTATCTATCACAGTAACAGTCTCCTCACTTGTTTCTGTCCCATGCAGGTTGTTAAGAAAAATTGTGAAGGGGAAAACACATCCCATCCATATGGGACAGGGTATAGCGAGTCTCAAACATCTCCCTCCTCCAGCGTGTCTCCCTTGGCCTTCTCCAGTGGGCACTGAGGCACAAAGGGTCTTGTCAAAAGATGTGAAGTGTCTGATAACTGTTTAGATGCTGGATGGTACCCCCTCTAGTGAACAGCAAAGAAAAGCATTACCTACCCAGCCCGAAAGGTATAGGCTTTACACTCAGATCTGCTGGCAATAGTCATACCAGAAGAAATCAGTATGTCTAAAGTTAATTTTCTTGCAAGCCATCCAAAAAAATCACCTTCCAAATTAGACAGAACTTCTAATAAAAAGCTGGACTAAATACACTCCATCTAAGAAAAACTGAACCCCAAACTCGCTCTTCTTTTGTCCTGCCAGGTGCTCTCCAGAGCTGGGTCTCTTGGCAGTGAACACTGCAATCAGCCGTGCTGTCTGCCAGATAAATCCATCGATGTCATGCCGGTCAATTATAAATAACATATTACCGGTTCTGCTTTCCACGCACACACTCCAATTCCTGCCAAAATATGATATAGCAAGCATCCTCCATGGATCAGTGACCAGAAACAAATCGAAGAGCCAATTAAAATACAAGTTGCAATAATCTACAAAAGTGGAACCATGTGTATGGCTAGGGGATCTATTAACTTTAAACTGATTTTTATTACAGAAGCTTTTCCCAACTTTTATACATGTCCAGTCCACTCTCTTTGTGGACCTCAAATGCATTATCTGCCTATTATTTAAGCTTCAGATTTAGCAGGTTAATATGAGTTGAATAGTCCAGAGAAAGGAAACATTTTCTCTTAGCAGAGCTCTGCACTTCCACTTCTTTTTTCTCTGGTGCTGCTTGCACTTGCTTCTAGTATCTCTTTCTCTACAGTGTCCGTGTAAGACAGCTGAGCAAGTAGAAACAGCAAACCCCTGTGGCCCAGGTCTGCGTCTGAGCAATGACTCCTTCTTGTCGGGCTGTGAAGCTTTGCTCTATTTTTGGATGAGACAGAGGGAGGTCTGGAAAGCCTCCTTCTCTCAGCGTGGAGAAAATCCTACCACGTAACAATGATGGTGCTCATAAACAGAGTTACGGTTGTGGAAGCCAAGAAATACCTGTGCAATAGCTGTGACAAGCAGCTCAATGGATTTCTACCGGGTTTGGGGGTTTTTATTAATAACTTAACGAACCCAGCTTTTGACCCTGAGTGTTCCCCACTCAGATGGCACAGAGCAATGCTTGAGGAGCAGTTTGTCTGCATGTATGCTAAAGGAAGGCCATGAAAGTCTTTGCTTTGATACTATCCCTGCCCATTGAGCGAGGTTAGCCAGATGTCATTCTAGGTTGTGTTCTTTTATTTTACTGTTTTTCTCTCTTCCCCTCCAAGAAACCAAACTCGCTCCACCAGAGAATGAGTTTATTGCAAGTTTGAATCTCCCAGCAGAGAAAGCTTCAGGGTGAGGAACTAAGACCTATTCTATCAGATGAAAGGTATGTGCACAACCAAACATCAATACAGTCAAGAATATTGGCATGTTTTTCTCTGATCTTTTGCCTTTAGAGCTATTAAGAATGAAAGGTCAGGTTCATCCTTGATGTAAAGCTATTTGCTTTGGGTTTTGCTGGGAATGAATCTGACGCAGTGGTTCCACAGTGCCAGTGGCAAGCCAGTGGGTGCAAGAGGAGGGGAACCGCCTGCACCCAGGAACTGGAACTAACCAGAGGCTGCTCCACACCCAAGTGACACAACACCCAAGGAAGGCAACAGAGAAGTGTCACGAGAATTACAGCTCCATGAGTTCCTCATCACAACACTCCCCCTGGGGCCCCTGCTTTCAACAGGGCAATGTGATGTTATAACCAGGAGATGCTCATCTGTAAAGAGCTGTGATTGCCAGTGCACATCCACATGACACACTTGGTTTTCAAAATCAGTCAAATACATTTTGTATCTGGCTGTCTTCATACCCAACTTGTGTGGTTCACTGCTAGTATGATGTATCTACAGTGGCTCAGTGATCGACCATTTCAGGTTGTATGTACTGAGATAATTGTGGGCACCCTTTCCTAGAGGCAAGCCTTTAAAAAACAGAATCCAAACCAGCTTTTTTCAAATTGCAAATCTAGAATTAGGAGGTCTAATCCTCCAACTCCAACCAAACATACCACTGCAAAATAACCTAGTCCACTCAAGCAAGGTCTGAATACAGGCTGCAATGATCTGACCCAATATGTAATAGCTATTAAGTTCTGCCCTCTGTATTTTCTGCACGAGGTTCTCAGACTGCAGCTCTGCCACTGTGGAGACAAAACCAGTAACGCGTGATCAGTCAATCCTGTCGGAAAGCATGACTTCACCTATGATTACAGAGCCTCCAAAGCTACACACCTCTCTGGATGGAAGAATACTGGCTGGCTGTGCAGGAAGACAAAGCTGGGGTTCAGTGATGAAAAATTTGAGGCTGTGAGGGCTATGGGGAGTGCATTATCACCACGTAGGTATCACTCTGCCTGCATAATAGATCCTGTGCCCCTGTAAATGCATACTTTTACAAGTCCTTCCATTCCTCAAATCCTATATTCTCTTGTGCTGTGGGGCTTGCTTTTGAAATCCACTCCAAAGCAGCCAGACCCTTCAGCTGACATTGGCTCACATGCCTCAAAAAATGTTACATCCTGGTCAGATTGGAGATATGCTGAAAAAAATGTAAATAAAAAGCACTGTGCAACTCGACACTTCCTTCCCTTCAGTGAAGGCCAAATGGGAACTGCCTGAAGAAATGAGCACCCCAGCTCTGGGCTTGCTGGGCAGATTCATTTGGACAAAGAAGGGGAGCTGTGCTGGCTCTCCACCGGCGCAATGCTTTATTGCCGGGGCTGTGGGGCCACATCATTGCTGAAGAAATCTGTCCCTAAATACACTAAATAAGATCAACAGAGTATTAAAGAGACAGGCTGGCAGTGGCTGTCTCTGCACACCCCAGGGCGCATTAGCACCCAGCCCTCCAAGGCACTGCGGGGATGGGTGAGCGCAGCGGCGCACCATGTCCACCCTCAGATATTTGCACAATTTTTGTTCTAAACACCAACTTTGGTACAAGCCATATACTACACATATTTCTTTCTCTTTCCTAGTGCCAAACCCTCCTGACAAAGGCACGGCCTGACCCTGCACGCTCAGGTGCGGACTGAATC